ATTTAAAAGAAAATGTAATATAACAATGATTATTACTACTGCGCCAAATCATAAATACATACAGGCATCCAAAGATTTTTAAATAATAATACAAATCATATTAAATATACTAACATTTTATATAAACTTATTTCACAAAATAAATATATATAATTTGCATCATAATCCCTAGATGAATCTAAAGATCTAAACCTTTTAACTCCAATAAAAAGAATTCACCCTAATTTCAATAATAATCAATGAATCTGGAATCCTTAGACTCCCAATAGATAGAATTTTAGAATGTAAACATATTTCTTCAGTCCCTAGAAATAGCAATCTAAAGTTTTGGTCTCTTCTAACTCCCCAACATATAATTTCCCTTTCTTTTAGAAAATAAAATATTTTGCGCTTTTCTGCTCCCAAGCAGATTTGAATTTCAAAAATAAATTACAAATTTTCTCTATGCCAATTAAATATAAAAATATTTTATACACCTTTATCTCCCAGTAGAATTAAAATTTCTTCCAAAATCTCTTTAATATCACATGCAATTCAAACCACATAAACACAATTCATCATATATAAACAATGAAAGCATATATAAATGCATTTTGAATTTCATAATGTTATAATGGTACAAAATAACAAAAAACTCAGCTGAGCAAAATTCACATTTTATAGAATTGATACCAAAATTACCAAAGATAAGTTAAAATATTATTATAAAACTATAATTGGTACTATAATATTATCTATCAGAAGTCCACATTATTTTATATTCAATAAAATAATTTTAAAATAAATATAAAACTCAGTGTAAAATTCTTAAAAAATATTTAAATGTGTTCAAATTTAATCTTAAATTACAGAAAATTACATAGTAATTTTTTTTCCAATAAAAGTACTTCCCATTTTTTAACAATGAAAATATAATTTAAATCAAAAATTCAAAAAAAAAAAACTCTATATTTTTTTAAAATTGTGATATGTATAGTGTGACATATGTTAAAATCTTGGCAACTTTTAGAATTAGGCCGCAGCCTAAAAATGACCCAAAGACGTCAAATCCTCCCTCTTTAGAATCACACTTTTTCTCTCAAGTTGATTGCCAATGAAACAAAATGGAACAAAATGGTGGGAAATATCTTTTTAAGTTACAGAAATTAAGCCTAATTTCGAGGTGCTAGTTTCATTTTCCATATATTCCAAAGCCTATAGAATTAGGGCAACCAGAAACACACCGATGAACTCCAAAGGAAAAAATTAGATTCAACAAAAAAAAGCATTAAGGATCCCTGGAAGCCCACATCAGAACACATGCATATCTTATTCAATGACAGACCATTCTCAGAACACATACAAAATAGTTCAAACATAGAATTCAATAATTAACCTAACTTTTCAGTCAGGTCAAGCTTGTTTGAATAGTACTGCTAATCTTGTAGGTGTCCATATTAGGGCATGAATTTTTAGAGCCCACATATTCTATGGATTCCCTTGGAGATTTATTTCTCTTTCCATCTGGGCTAGTTGTACATGAAGCTATAAAACAACAATCTACAGTAAATTAAAATTTAATTTAATCAAAATTAAAATTTTAGGTAATTTAATTAAAGTACTTTAAGGCAGGTTCTATGTGTTTGTGCAATTCATATAAAAAAAAGTATCTTATAGTTATTTTTATTTATTTAGTTTCTGCATTTTAAAATTAACTAACTGAAAGTGATGTAAAACTAAATCTAAATTACTAAATCCTCATCTTTTATTATGTGGCAGATAGAAACTACAGAAAACATCCTTTTACCGGCCACTAAACATTCACCCTAGCAAAACTAAAAATTAACACTGGGATGGTGAAGTCCATCAAGTTCAATGGGATTATAAATCCCTGTATCTGCTACGAGGGCCTCTATCGTCCTAATTTCATAAGCCTTACACTTTAGCGGTAATTTTAGTAGTGGGAGTGGAATTATAAGGACTTAATAGTGTTGTGTTTACGATCTATAGTCTTCATATGCCGTGTCGTCAGAGGCCGTACAAATCATCATATATTATTATAACTTTTAGTATATAGCTATTGTCGTTAAAATCTTATTTTCCAAATATAATACATTATTTTTTTATTTGCCTCTCATCTAACATTAAGATCTGACTGTCATATTATATTGGCCATTATACTATTATTATGTTACTATGTATAATACTCTCATCTCAGATAAAGTTTTCAACTAAAATTTAGATTAAGTTGTATATTTGAATTTATGTTAAAATGTTATTGCATACAGATGTTTTCTTGATATTTACAATAAATTATTGCATTTCAATTCTACATATCATCATTGAATTGTTACAATAGAAGAGAAAAATGTATATAAGTGTGCATGGTGAAAGATAAATGTTACATCCTTGCAAAAAGTAAGGAAATCTATGAGATGTTAACATTAGCTATCATTTATATAACCAGATTGGATTACAATCACCTCATTATTGGGAAGGTATGTGTTTTGTCAATATGACTTTCCTTAAAATAAATGATTGTATTTAAGGTGAGATCCAATTAGGTGTTATACATGGGTCAATCGACTGACTGATTAATGCGGTGAGTAGTAAGACGATCGACATATTATGAGATTTACGTAAAGATCTACATCATAGAAATGAACTTTAAGAGTAAATAGAATAGGATGGAATAGATATTGTCTGATGACCGGTCAGTATTTTGTCTGAGTTTTATGTATCTCCTAGTATTTATTCTTGTATGAATAAGATATTGATGACTAAATGTGAGTGAAAACATAAGAATGAAACATTACACTTGAAAATAATTGGAGTGATCAATCCTCAGCTCTTGCTATTTAATTATCGCAATTTCTTGGATTGCATATTATATTATATAAGATATGAATTGAATTGTATAAATTTAATGAATTGTAAGATTGAACAATATAGATCTTATGTCTTGATATCTTATATTATCAGTATATTATAAAGCATAGCATAATTATAGGAGACTATTGTATATGATCATATTAAAGGCATAATGAAAACTTTAGTATGACACTATGATGAAGTAACCTAATTTTTAGATATATTAGGCAATACAAATATGACATCAGTTAATTGTAATTAATTTTAGAACGTTTTTCTCTATATAAGAATTTATTTATATGAACTAATAAGATTTGAATATGAAGACAAAGTTATTTCTAGGCATTTAATTGGATCCTAGAATGAGTGAAAGGGTTGTTTAGATGTGTGGAATTAGTTAATATTAAATATAGAAGTCATATATAGCGATATATGATTAATATGGAGTAGAAATGGGTAGTTGTTATACTATCTTTATATCTCCTGTGCATTTCCATTCTAAATGCATATGTAAGTGATTAGTTTGAAATATTAAACTAATTATAAATCTTTTTTAATATTAATGGGAAAAAGATTCCAGCGGTCAGGCGTCCAGTGCCTGTCGCTCCTGCTGCACAGGTTGCCCCGGCCCCTCAGCGCCGGCAGCCTGTTGTAGTTCCCCCCGTTCGTCCAGCGGTCCGGCGTCCAGTGCCTGCCGCTCCTGCAGCACAGGTTGCTCCGGCCCCTCAGCGCCGGCAGCCTGTTGTAGTTCCCCCCGTTCGTCCAGCGGTCCGGCGTCCAGTGCCTGCCGCTCCTGCAGCACAGGTTGCCCCGGCCCCTCAGCGCCGGCAGCCTGCTGTAGTTCCCCCCGTTCGTCCAGCGGTCCGGCGTCCAGTGCCTGCCGCTCCTGCAGCACAGGTTGCTCCGGCCCCTCAGCGCCGGCAGCCTGCTACTACTGTTGCTCCCGTTGTTCCAGCGGAAGTACCTCGTGTTCGGGTTCCCCCTCCCACTCCCACTAGGAAGAGGGGTGCCCAGACCGAGGTGCCTTCGCCTTCCACTTGTCGGGTTTCTGTTTTCGCCCGACTTTCTCACCCCGAGGTTGTTGGGCAGACCCCGACACTTCCCGTTGTTCCTGTTCCCGGTCCTGATGTTCCTTCCTCTTCCACCTCCGGCCTTGGGAGAAGGGCCAGGAGGAATAGGAACAGGAGACTTCGTTTAGCTGCGTCAGAGGCAGAGAGGCAGCAGATGGCTGATGCTATAGCTCACCAGGAGCTAGTTGAGAGGACAGTGGCTCCCAGGCAGCGGAGGCCACGATGAGTTACAGTTGTGCCAGTTCCAGAGGTTGTAGTGGCTCCCGAGATAGAGGCAGTTCAGGGAGGACGCTTTTCCCCGTTGACACATAGTGGGGACGAGGAGGACGTTATGGAGAATCGGAGCTCCTAAAACTGTGGTGCTAACACCTGAGAACAGATGTACTACATCACAGCACAACTCTGAGGTGACAAGGGAGCACACTTGACACCTAATCTGATAATCATGAGTGAGATCTGTGATTATCATAAGATCACAGTGGCGACACCTACCCTAATCAGGTAGGACCCTGTGCGAAGTAGAAGTAACACTGCCACATTCATAGGACTACTCTAGGACCAACAAAAATTTATTCACATTAATAAATAGTTATCATATTTATATAAAAAAAGCACGCATCTCTTTCTAATTATTAAAATATTATATTTTTAAAATTTAATTGGCTTCTCACTCACATTATTTGCAAGTAATTCATTTTTCTTTTTCTTCTCGGAATGCACTTTTACTCTTTTTATAAATTTCCTACTTTCATTCATGTCTTGAATTCAAAACAAATTGATTTCATGATCAAATTTTAGGGTTTATAAAGTTTAAGAAAAAAGTAATTAATTTAAATTTAATTATACCCAATGGGGCAATGCTTCATATTGCCAAGAACTGTTTTGTTTAATTAGTATTGATTTTGGAGAGAAAATTTAGATATAGGGGCAGATCTAGCTTCTTTTTTTAGGATGGGCAAAAAAAAAACTTTTTTTGTAAGGGATAGGCAAAAATGCTGAGGATTGATAAAAATAGGGCAAAAAAGATTTTTGAAAGGGGCAAAATGTTCAAAATATTCAAAATATTTCAAAATATCTCCTCTAAATATTATATAAAAAAAATTTCCTAAGCCCTTGATGGATCTGCCCATGCTATGATGGGTTTTATTATCTTTAGATTTAAGTTGAATCTGAATATCATAATTATTCATAAGTAGCAATAATCTATATAACAAATGAAGATGGAAACTAATTTGGAGGACTTCGCATTCTTTGAAAGGCCATTGAAAAAGAAGAACAAACTTAAGAGTAATGTGTCGTCCTCCAAACTAATTTCTATCTTCATCGATCGGCATTACTCATTTTTCTTTTTTAACATCTGCCAAAAAAATTATTCCATAAAAATCATAAATATTTAAAGCTTTTGAGAGTTTTTTTTAACATAAAAAATGAGTGATTTATCGCAATTTTAAAATTTTCACGTCTAAACTTGGTCAAGGTCAAGTCGTTGGTTAAAAAAAGAAAAAAACTATCATTTTATTTTAGGGAATTTTGTATACATAACATTTCAAATTATTATATTTACTTATCTAATATTCAAAATATACTATTTACATACTTATCATCCAAATACACTCGGACGAAGAGGGAACCTGCTCTCACGCCAAAGACGCGACGGGTCGGGCAGATAGGTATCCGAGTGGTAATTTAACTTGTTTAGGTAAGTATGTAACATCTAGGGAACCTACTCACCACATGCATCATCTCACTGGCAAGTTCTCTTTCTGGATGCAAAATGTATCGAGCAAAAGATACATTTGCAGTTTATAATCTGCATTGGGCGAATGAATTTCTTCTTTTGTGCTGTCTCTAGTTATTATTTTCATCAATGGAGGCGGCGTTGGACTCGATGGTCAGGGATGAGGCTGCCCTCCTAGCATTGAGGAGCTCCGTCTAGCTGTCTTGGGGTATAAGTGAGCCGAGCTGACTCTCGAGCGGGCTAGAGCTCGACTCATTTATAGGCTTATGAGCAGAGCTTATCGAGCTTATCGAGCTTACGAGTCGAGCTCGAGCGTGTTCAGTAAACACTCTCGAGTTCAAGCTTGATGAGGCACGGCTTGTGAGATCACGAGCCGGCTCGAATAATATTTATGATTTTTAAAAATTAATTAAGTACTATTTTTATTAAATTTAAATCTTAAAGAAATCTATATTTAGTTTAAAAAAAAAAATTATAAAACTGTAGTTGGAGACTATAGGCTACAGCCTATAGCCCTACAAGTCTACAACCTACAGCTTACAGTGTGCAATGTTAGAGTTCCAAAAATATTTATATTAAATGTTAACGCTGCTACACTTAAATATATATATATATATAATGAATGTTGTAGATTTTGTTAGTTTAAAATAAAAAAAAATATAATAAAAGTAGAAGATGCATGTCTTAAAAAACGCAAAAAGTACTTCTTTCTATCCATGGGAAAAAGTAAGGCCAAATTTTAAGGAGTTCGTTATTTTTTGATTTAGAGCTTTATATTTGACTCGCGAGTAGAGCTCGAACACCTCCTGATTCGAGCTCAATTGGACTTCTTGCAAAAAAACTCGGTACACCTCGGTACCGCGGGATTTTTGCCTGCGACCGAATGTTTCTCTCATTCAGTCGACCGAACCAAATAAAACTTCCAAGAAGAAGGGATTTCACACGGTATTCATGGAGTTTTGATAGAGTGATAATTTAATTGAGATGTGATGTATTTGAATGATAGATATGTAAATAGTATATTTTTGATATTAAATAAGTAAATATAATAATTTGAAAGGTTATGTATTAAAAAATTCCTTTATTTTATTTTATTGGAGTCCCACTGAATGTTATAATTTCTATTGGTCTTGGTGTTCACTGCTACTAAAACCCTAAGCGCATAACCGGTAACTTCTCGCCGGAAACGATGAAAGCGGTCGAAATCACAACTCCCGGTGGGCCGGAAGTTCTCAAGCTGCAAGAAGTGGATGAGCCAGAGGTCGCGGATGGCGAGGTTCTCATCAAAGTGGAGGCTGCCGGCGTTAATCGGGCCGATACTGTTCAGAGGAAGGGATCATATCCTCCGCCGAAGGGCGCCAGCCCGTTCCCCGGGCTCGAGTGTTCGGGCACAGTCATTTCCGTCGGCCGATCCGTGGACCGCTGGAAGGTTGGAGATCAGGTAACGCCAATATTTGACATTCAACTGTGTTTCGCTTTGGCAGAAATTAAATGATTCTGCTCATTCTGCGGTTTGAATTATGTTATATTATTTTTTGTTATTGATTCAGAGTTTAGAACTACTATTTATTGCATAATATTTTATCTAGATCAGTAAGTCACAGCTTAGCTATCAGGCTAGGCCTCGTGGGTCTTCTTCTTTGTTATTTCATGATTATTTGAGCTGATCAGGCAGGCCTCAAATTAAAACCATTGATACGCTGTACTCTCAACTAGTTTCAGACTGTGTTACTTGGAAAACTGTTAGGATCTTAAATTCTTCAGGTTAATAACATTGCAGCTTTGAAGAGTTATGCTACTAACCATATGAGAGAAGCTCTCTTTGATTCCATGCAATCTTGATGGAGACTAATGTGGGGAATAACCAATCCAATCTCTTTTTTCTTCCCTGATCGTTCTATCTATCAATTACAATTACGCTGAGTGATACTGGGTTCATACATTGATCTGAATATAGAGGATTCTTTCTTCATCTTGAATTACGGTTATGCTGGATATGGTGTAGCTACATCAGCCAGTAATCAAACCTAAAGTTGTTAATCATAAACGTCATCGGTATCGGAACTATTTTTAATGTTAGCTTCATTAAAACCTTACAATTCTACAACAATTCCAAAACAATCTAAACTTAAAAGATGATCATTCATTCTCATCTTAAACGTGGAAAGGTTAATTTAGAAAAGGCAGGATGCTCCTTTTAATGAGATGATATAGATCCACCATGTTTATTTATAGGTATGTGCTCTTCTTAGTGGAGGTGGATATGCAGAAAAGGTGGCCGTACCAGCTGGGCAGGTGCTTCCGGTTCCAAAAGGCATATCTTTGAGTGATGCTGCGAGCTTTCCAGAAGTGGCTTGCACTGTTTGGTCGACAGTCTTCATGATGAGCCGCTTGACTGCTGGGGAAACTTTTCTGGTGATTATCTTGTAACATTTTTTTTATGTACTTTTCTACTGTTAAACATTTCTGCAATCCATTTTTTAAAGGAAAAAAATTATGTCAAGTGGGTAATCAGAAAACATATGGTATATGAAGGTTGTTATTAGCTTAAGGATTCTGAGATGACTCTGGATTTTAATCTTGAGTAGAATTTAAGAATTCACTAATATTGGTATGCTTTCAAAAGGATAATTCATGATATTCCAGATCTTGATGTTTTGGAGTGACTCTTTATCATTTATTTAATGCATTATTTGTGTTGATGCTTTCTTCCTTATGCTTTCAAGTTCATTGTAGACTAGTGTCAATTTAATTCTTCATTCTTTTTATTTTATTTTATTTTGTCAAACTCATCTCCTTTATCACATAGTGGGATTAAGGCTTGATGTTGTTGTTTTTCTTGGAATCAAAGGACTTAAGATTGACTGCAAAGAGAATTTTATTTCATCATCAATTATCATTCTTATTAACTTCAAGGAACCCATTTTATAGAGGACAGCCCCTGTGAACACTTAGCGAGCACATAACAAAATGTACTCACCATGACAAAAAAGGAGCTCTTAACTCAATATTGACACTATTAAATAACAAAAATTCATGAAATCTAAATGAAAAAAAAAAAAACCAAGATGACATAAATAGTGACATAAATGGCTTATACTCTATATTCATGTCATTACTAAACTGAAAGTTGATTTTTATATGTTGCATCAACTCCTTCAAACTAAACCAAGAAGATCCAAAAATGAGAAGCATAATTCATTCTGTATAGATCATCAAAATTTTGATGGTACTTCACTACTTCTAGTGAACTTAATGATGACATAATCTAGAGGTAACCTGGTCAATTTCATGACATAATTGCATGGAGAAGTGGTGCCGTTTGTTGCTTCTGCAAATCATGATCTTTCATTTGTGCCTGCATTAAACATGATCTAAATTAATGAATGGAATGTTTTACCTTTGTGTCATGGAGAGGGGGGAATGATGTAATTTCTGGTTTTTTTTTCAATTTGAAGTGAAATATAGTCTTAGGAAAGGTTTTAAAATATGACATTCTTAGCTCAAGTTCATTATTGAGTGGTAATTCTACACTTTATTTGTATAGATTCATGGGGGATCTAGTGGAATCGGCACATTTGCTATCCAAATTGCCAAGTACTATGGGATACGTGTATTTGTCACGGCTGGTATTATGCTTAAAATTAATACAATATAATATTTAATTAATCAGAACCTCTTTTTTTTCACATTCTTATGTTCTTTAAATTACAGGGAGTGAAGAGAAACTCACCGCCTGCAAGAATTTAGGTGCTGATATTTGCATAAATTATAAAACTGAAGATTTTGTGGCTCGTGTTAAGGAAGAAACTGGAGGAAAGGGTATGCTCCAAAAACTGCTTTATTAAGTTGATAGCAATGTCAACATCTAAAAGCTGTGGCTCCACAGGTGTTGATGTTATACTTGACAATGTTGGAGGAGCTTACTTTCAGCGTAATCTTAACAGCTTAAACTTGGATGGAAGGCTTTTCATTATTGGTTTCCAGGGAGGCACAATTACCGAGGTCAACTTATCATCCATACTTGCAAGACGCCTAACTGTACAAGGTATTGATTTCACAGTTTCGGTAACTTGAGCCTCTTTCTTTCAAAATCACGGAACATTTTTTTTTTTGGTGAAGCTTCAACTCTTCTCTGTCAGAGAATCAGTATTTTGAGATTTTTAGTTGTAGATTTTTCTTCCTATCCAACCATTGTTTCCGAAATCTAGTTAGTTTGGAGGCCAAAGCTTGCTCGAATTGATCACCTGATTTTAATGCAACACGATTAGCTGGACTCCTCTGGAGGAACATCATTTGAGGATTGTTAGGCCTTCTCCAACCGAACTCCAAACGTATGAATGGGGTGGCTCGTGAGCTTCAGCTGAATGACAAAACTTCTGCTATTTGGTTGCGGGTGAAGAGTGTGACGCCAATATTGGCGTTGCACCGTTCACCTACGCTATTTTTCTGTCTCTACCGGATTTCCGGAAGAGACGCGCGAAAGAGAAAGACGGTAACCGCGCAAAATGGAGTTTGATTGGGGATGAATCACGGCATTTTTTAGTTTCACTGTATTTTGGAGTGAAAAATGAGATTTTTGGTTGGAGATGCCCTTATCACTTATGGGGTACGTCTCTTCTCCTTGGTGTTCTTTTTATAACTGCTGGTGGCAGTCTTCTAACCCCAAATAAGAAGAAAATGGTGAAGAAGATTGGCTACATATAAGTGAAACAGACGCAATTAACCATCTGGGCACACCAGATTGGAAAATATGTGCGAGGGGGACCGGTTGTATCTTCCAACAAGGAAAGGAGTTCCTGATATCGGCAATCATCACCACCATTAGACAGTCGGTGAAATCGAGTGAAGAGGAAATCCAGGCTCCATATTGGAGTCGTTGCTAAAGAGGAAGACCGGCCTCATCGCATAGATGGCTTCTATCGACAATTAATGGAGAGAAAGACTTAGGCTTCGTTTGGGATTGACTTTTTTATTGCTTCTTAAAGCAGCAGTAAGAAAGTCATCCCAAACGAAGCCTTAATAAAACTTCCCTTAGTTTTTTCAGTAGTATTTGGTGGGGAAATATTAGTGGAACTGTGTTATATAAATTGCATTCCCTACTAAGTAAATAGAAACCATACAAATAGCTAATTATAGTTTGACTATTTCCTTTGCAGGTGCTGGGCTGAGAAGCAGAAGTCCTGAGAACAAAGCAGTGATTGTAGCAGAGGTGGAGAAGCTTGTTTGGCCAGCTATTGAAGCAGGTAAAGTGAGGCCCATTGTCTACAAGACTCTTCCACTTGCTGAAGCAGCAGAGGCTCACAGGATAATGGAGAGTAGTGTTCATGTCGGCAAGATATTACTGATTCCATGATCAGGAGGCAAATGTCTTGCTTACCTTAAAAACACCTGTTTGAATTGGCTTCATGTTAATAAAAGCGTGTATGACATGCATAATAGGGGGGTTTTGTATGCCATGCATAATAGAGTATGTATTGGTATTTTTTATGTATGATATGGGCTCTTTCATGAAAATTCACTTGACTTGGGGGTTTTGTTATTTTTAATTTGAAAAATTGAGTGTGCAAGTATATATTTAGGCTTCGTTTGGGACGATTTTTTTAGATCTTTTGTAAACGAGCTGAGTTTTAGGCTTTGTTTGGGACGGCTTTTTTATTGCTTCCTGAAGCAGCTTTCTAGTACAAAAAATTTTATTTTTATACTAAAAACTTGTTTCAAGAAGCAGGAAAAAAGCTGTCCCAAACAAAGCCTTAGTGAGCTAACTGTTGTTTGTGTTATGTTTATTTGAAAATTTGTTTGTTTGAATTCAGACAAAATTTGAAATTGTTACTGAATAGCATTCAATTTGTTTTGAATTAGTTTGTTTGTGTTCGAATGGTATTTGACTTAATTAGTTAAAAAGTATTATACTAAAAAATTATTTTAAGAAGTCGTAAGAAGGCAGTCTCAAACGAAGCCTATGACTCACTTGCCTTAAATGCACCATTGATTGTTCTTGAAGAAATATGTCTAAAAATTTTATTTGTATCAAAATACCCTCCTAGAAGTTTTATTTGAACAATAATTCATCATTGATAGAAACTTTTTTGACCTTGATCGAACTATCTTTAAATAATGATGAAGACTCCATCTACCATTGTTTGAACATGGTTCCAAAATGCAATTAAGTTTTGAACAAACTTCGAAGAATGTTTGGTCATGTAATAATCATATTTCAATCAAGGTTAAAATAAAATTTGAGTCATATTTGAAGTTGGTAATATTTTTTCTTTTCCTTTCTTTTTTGGGAGCTAGTAATATTATATCTTATATCTTTCTAGAATTAGGGTTCATAGTGTAGACGTACAACATCTCTCTCCACGAAGTCTGCACACTTTCTTTCGATCAGGCAGACGAATCCGGTGGATAAGTTGGCACAGGTTTATGTGAAGGAAATTGTTAGATTACATGGTGTGCCTAAAGTGATTCTATATGACCGAGATAGACGGTTTACTTCCAGACTTTGTAAGGGTATTCAACAAGGCTTGGGTACGAAGTTGCATTTCAGTACGACTTTTCATCCGCAGACTAACGGACAGTCTGAGAGGACTATTCAGTTACTGGAAGATCTTCTGAGGTTGTGTTTTGAATTTTGGAGGAAGCTGGGAAGATCATATCCCTTTGATCGAATTTGCTTATAATAATAGTTTCCAATCCAATATTGGTATGGCACCTTATGAAGCTTTGTATGACCGGAAGTGTAGAATTTTTTTTACTCTAACTGAGGTGGAAGATAGATAAGTGATGGGTTTAACTTTTGTGGATGAAACTGTTATGAAGATTAATCTAATTAAAGAAAGATTGAAAGCTGCACAAGATAGACAACAGAAATATTACAATCAGAAGCACATATTTGTGGAATTTCATGTTGGTGACTTTGTGTATGTCAAAGTCAGTCTGATGAAAGGTGTGAATAGATTTGGTAGAGTGAGTAAGCTCAGTCTAAGATATGTTGGACCTTTTGAAATCCTTGAAAGGATTGGTAAGTCTGCTTATAAATTGTTGTTATCCAATCAGATGTCTGATATATATAACGTGTTTCACATATCCTCTTTGAGAAACTGGATATCTGATTCTGACAAGAAAGTGTCTACTGATGAGGTTGAGATTCAGGAGAATCTGCAGTACAAAGAAGAACCTGAGAAAATTTTGGCCTATTATGTGCGTAAGTTAAGAAGTAAACAGATTCCTATGGTTAAAGTGCAGTGAAAGCACAGAACAGCTCGGGAAGCGACTTGGGAGTAGGAGTCGGACATGAGGCAGTCATATCCATATTTGTTTTGACTTAGTTTACTTTGGGAATGTCGAGGACGAAAAATGTCGTTTTTGAAGAGAGAGAAAGTCCAGGAGAGAGAAAATCGTGGAAAGAGGAAGAAAAGTGGATTTTTGAGCGACTTCAACTCATTTTCGTCCGTCGCCGTAGTTGGAAAAGTTGATCGACTCGAGGTAAGGCACATTCCGCCTTTCTCAATTTTCAGAAACGAGAATTTTGACGACTTTTCTGTTCCGGATTTTGTTTCCGTTAGCGAATTTCTGGTATTATTTTCTTCTGACAAAGATTTTACCGCGTAACTTTTGGTATGTTTTTGATATGATAATTATGCATGTTTTGAGTATGTTCTGGGAGATTTTTACCGGGTATTTTGAATTTTGCTCAGTTTTATTCGAATAACAATTTATCTGGACGTCTGATATTATTACTTCAGTACAGTAAAAGTCTTATAATATTGTTGTGGATATTCTGTGGTAATTTGATAAATTTATGAATCTGTGAATTTTGTGTAAATTCCGTATATTGTCGTTATGCCGCCGATTTTTTGTACGAATTCTGATTTTTTTGAATTGATACATTGAATGAATTGAAGTGTTTGTATGCTATCAGAAGGGAGTTATAAAGGGTCAATATCCTTTGAGATTCTGTAAGTGTCAGGAAAATCTGAAATGAGCTCTGAAATATGAAAATAAGCTCTGTCCCGGAATTCTGAATATATGTTCTGTTCTGGTGCTATAAGCACAAAGGGAGACATAAGGGGCCAGAATCTGTCGAGATTCTGTAAGTGTCAGGGAAGGGAGGCATAAGAGGCCAGAATCCGTAGAGATTCTGTAAGGGTCTGGGAATCTGAAATCTGATATGTTATCTGAAATCTGATGATTGATATCTGATAATCTGTGCTGTCACTAATCTGATCTGTTTTATGAATTATCTGATATAAATGTGATTTTATCTGATTTCTGATTTTTATACGATTCTGGTTATTCCGTACGATTCTGTCTGCTCTGTGACTTGGAAGTTTTATGATATCTGTTCTGAACTCCGATTCGACATGACTTCAATTTTCGGTATCAGTTGTTTGTTTATTGCTTCCTGAAGCAGCTTTCTAGTACAAAAAATTTTATTTTTATACTAAAAACCTGTTTCAAGAAGCAGGAAAAAAGTTGTCCCAAACAAAGCCTTAGTGAGCTAACTGTTGTTTGTGTTATGTTTATTTGAAAATTTGTTTGTTTGAATTCAGACAAAATTTGAAATTGTTCCTGAATAGTATTCAATTTGTTTTGAATTAGTTTGTTTGTGTTCGAATGGTATTTGACTTGAATTAGTTAAAAAGTATTATACTAAAAAAATATTTTAACAAGTCGTAAGAAAGCAGTCCCAAACGAAGCCTATGGCTCACTTGCCTTAAATGCACCATTGATTGTTCTCGAAGAAATATGTCCAAAAATTTTATTTGTATCAAAATACCCTCCTATAAATTTTATTTGAACAATAATTCATCATTGATCGAAACTTTTTTGACCTTGATCGAACTATCTTTAAATAATGATCAAGACTCCATCTACTATTGTTTGATCATGGTTCCAAAATGCAATTAAGCTTTGAACAAACTTCGAAGAATGTTTGGTCATGTAACAATCATATTTCAATCAAGGTTAAAATAAAATTTGAGCCATATTTGAAGTTGGTAATATTATATCTTATATCTTTCTAGGATTAGGGTTCATAGTGTAGACGTATAACATCACTAACCTTCAACGACGATCATTGGCTAGCTATAGACAAAGATGAAGATAGAAATATTGACTTCGAAACTTTGTCTTAGAACCATCTCGGAGTTGAGAATTCAAAGGTTGCTTCTATAAACTAATGTGTCTCTTCAAATAATGGAGGTATTTTAGTCTAAATAAAACTTTCAGACAAATTTCTTCAAAAAAATGAAATAGTAAGCATATTTATTTAATTTTGGGCATTATGAGGTATATGAAGTTGAATTTCTCATGCCAACTCCTTGAGCCTATTTTATGCCCTCTCCTCAAAAAATCTCGTATGATGCATATACACAGACACAGATATGACAAAATAATAAAAACATGGAAACAGTATTACAATTTTTATAAATTAAAAATAATGTATAGAAATTGAGTAAGAAGAATATTTAGCATAATTGAAAATTAATAAATCTTTTAACTAAAAATTGTGCTTAAAATTATTAATATTAGAATTTCGAGAGTTTGGAGTCGATGTCATGTTTTAACCTTCAAGAGGGGAGACGACAATGATATCAAAAGTTGAGCATCAATGTCGAGACAAAATCAGTTGTTCATATTGAGATGATGTTAGTTAAAGATGAAATATCAGGACAATGCGGTGGCGTGATCCAATTAGCTTGAACTCTGGATGCATTATGAGGGCTCATAATAAACCCAAATTCTCCAGATGCATAGTCGCTCCTCTTCCACATGGAGAAAGAGCCTGTGCCTTCTTCCCCACATGAAGGTACGACCCCATGGGACTAAATCTAGGTCGAAGACTCTTAAGAGTTTCATGGTTAATCTCAAAATGTATTTGTTTAATCTATTTTGTGTGGAATAGCTAACTGCATCAACGAACAGTATGCTTTTAGTTAAGAAAGAACATCTATTATTTTGACCGCATTGAAAATTAACAATGGAAGCTACTATTTCATTCTCAAAAATCAAATTAATAAGAAAAAGCATAACTTGGCAAGAAGAACCATTATGGCATCTCTGGGGTTTGTTCGTTACAAAATACTTATCAGTGTAAACAAATCCTTGCAAAGTGAATGCAATCAAATTCTCTGCATTTACAATGGCGTTTTGAGAAGAAAATGAACTAGAAGTGAGGCACAGGTAAAGCAAACACAACACTCTTACGAAAAAAACAAAACAAAACAAAAGTTAGAATTTCATTTGGGACGACTTTCTTGCTGCTTCTTAAAGCAGTTTTCAAGTTCAAAAATTATTAAAATTTTTAAACTTGAAAGTTGTCTTAAGCAGTAAGAAAGCCGTCCCATATGAAGACGCATTGAAAATTAACAATGGAAGCTACTATTTCATTCTCAAAAATCAAATTAATAAGAAAAAGCATAACTTGGCAAGAAGAACCATTATGGCATCTCTGGGGTTTGTTCGTTACAAAATACTTATCAGTGTAAACAAATCCTTGCAAAGTGAATGCAATCAAATTCTCTGCATTTACAATGGCGTTTTGAGAAGAAAATGAACTAGAAGTGAGGCACAGGTAAAGCAAATACAACATTCTTACGAAAAAAACAAAACAAAACAAAAGTTAAGATTTCATTTGGGACGGTTTTCTTGCTGCTTCTTAAAGCAGCTTTTAAGTTCAAAATTTATTAAAATTTTTAAACTTGAAAGCTGCCTTATGTAGTAAGAAAGCCGTCCCAAATGAAGACTAAATTCTCCCCATTCTGTTTACATTGGCTATATATTGTAGCAAACCAAATAACCACTTGTCATTCCATGGCATCAAACATGCAAATATAAGTTTTTAGTGCATAACCTGCAATATAACAATCTTTAGACACTGCAGCCGTTTGGATTGAATCATTTTCACAGTTTTTCTCTTACCCTGCACTTTTTATCTCCTTGGTTTGCAGATGAAATTTGAGAATGTTCTAGTGCCGGCGAAAGGGCCCTCTTCTTAGGAGGACATTTGAGGTTGTAATTCTTCAACCATAGCACTAATTTAAAAAAAAAAAAATTGAAGAGGTTTAACAGAGTACCGAAGCACAAATTTGATGAAGGCAGTATTCGATCTCAAGTCCACTTTAGCTTCCAAATTCTTTAACCAGCATCCAAGTGGGATCCAATCATGTCAAAAATGTATTGGAGAACTAGTTTCAATGTTAATATGGATACAAAGAAGTATTCATTTGGAAGCATTATTAGCTCCTTTATAATCTCCTCATCAGAAGATTAGGAGAAAAAATATGCTACCTCGTCTTAGAAAAACATCAAAATGGTTGATCTAAATCAAAGTCTGGGACCCATTTTAACTGTAAACTGAGTCCATCGACGACATCATAAATCTCATCAGATCTGAAATGTAACCTATCACCTACCAAGAACTTGTGTAATCTATCATCCAATTCTATCCAACTATATGCAGCTAGCTTCTGCACATTTTTGCTCTGCATGAGCTTTCTCATACTCCTTGCTTCCTCCCATTGGCCGGCATCAGCACACAAATATGAGAAAAGAACATAATTTGCTGAGTTTTCAGGCTCCAATTTCAATAGCTTCTCCATTGAGATCTTTGCAAGCTCAACATTTGAATGAATTCTACATGCACTAAGCAATGTTCCCCAAATGACTACATTGGGTACCATCTCCATCTCACAGATGAATTTGAAAGCATCTTCCACCCTTCCAGATCGACAGAAAAGATCAACTATACACGCACAATGTTCAACCTTTGGCACAATGTTATGGTCTGATCTCATACTTCGAAAGAATTTGAGTCCTAAATCAACCAATCCCGCATGAGTACAAGCAGTTAGCAGGCCAACAAAAGTTATCTCATTTGGTTTTAGGCTCTCTTCAATCATCTTATAATAGAGATTTATTGCATCCTCTGCAAGCCCATTGTAGGCCAAACCCCCTATAAGTGAGTTCCATGATATGATATCCTTCAAAGACATCTCATTGAAAACTCGACAAGCTTTTTGGATATTTCCACATTTGGCATACATATCAAGAAGCGCAGAGTTTACATAAACACTGGAATTAAAACTCATGCTCTCAACATAGCTTCCAATACGCTCTCCAACCTGCACAGAGCCCAATTGGGCACAGGCAGACAGAACACTTACAAGAGTAACTTCATTAGGATCAAAGCACTCAAACTGCATCTTCTCAAAGAGCTCTAAAGCCTCATTTGATCTCCCATTTTGAGCATAGCCAGCAATCATGGCAGTCCATGCAACAACATCTCTATGATCCATCTGATCAAACTCCAGTCGTGCCTCATCAACAGCTCCACACTTCACATACATTTCCAAAATTGCAGTCCGAACAATCAAACTAGTTCTTGAATGGTGTTCATCAATCAATTTCCTAACCTTCAGTCCTGTTTCCAAGTCAGCTAGTTTTGCACATATTGATAAAACTATCACAATTGTGATCTCATTCGTTTGAAATCCTTCTTCACGCATCCTTTCAAATAATCTCAAGGCTTCATCAAAATTCTCTTGATGTGCATAGCAAGTTATAATTGTATTCCACGAGGAAGCAGTCCTCTGCGTCATTTCATCAAATAGATGCCGTGCTGCCACAACATTACCAGATTTAGAATACCCAGATATCAAACAGTTGTAAGGAACTGGATCCTTATCAACAATCTCGTCAAAGGCCCTTTGAGCTGAACATATATCATCATTTTTGACGTAAAAATCTATTAAGGCCGTCTGGATAAATACATTGGAGAAAAATCCAAGCTTCCGAACAAGTGAATGGACTTGTTTTCCAGCATCCAACACAGCTAATGACGCACAAGCTTTAAGCACAGATGGGATTGAAAAAAAATTTACTTGGATATTCTTACGGTGTGAAAGAACGAAAATTTCTAGTGCTTCGCCGTGCAAAGATAACTTGGAGTGTGCGGACAAAATAGAATTGGAAAGCAATGAGTCTGGCTGGGGCATTGCGTCGAACACTTGACGGGCATAGTGGATGGTGGATTGTTTCAGTAGAATTCTGAGGAAGACGTGAGTTAGACTAGGGCACGCCCTGATGATGAGGGCGTGAATTTGCCTTAGGTGGTGGATAGGAGTTGAAGCTTGGAGGAGAGAGATGATCAGGCTATGTTCCATCTTGAACGCAAGAATTATTGGGCATCTCTACAGGGTTGTTCTTGGAGGGGAAAATAGAATGGAAAGTAGCCGTTGAAATTTGAAAAGCAGAAGCATTTGAAGTGGAGGGTATCCTACGTCTTCATGGAAGAAGAAACACGCAAGACGATAAGAAGCGTGGATTATAACGATGTAATACCTGTTGACAAACACGACGCCGCATTGATGAGGTTCCAACTCTATATGGAAAGTAGCCGTTGAAATTTGAAAAGCAGAAGCATTTGAAGTGGAGGGTATCCTACGTCTTCATGGAAGAAGAAACACGCAAGACGATAAGAAGCGTGGATTATAACGATGTAATACCTGTTGACAAACACGACGCCGCATTGATGAGGTTCCAACTCTATATATAGGGTGCCAATCAAGATGGTGAAAATCTGATCAGAAATGGAACTAGAAGAAGAAGAAAAAAAAA